CAGATGAGACGGCTCGTGAACAGGGTAGAGAATAAAAACTTTAATCGCAATTTATATCACAGTTTGAATCGTGATTTCGACCGTAACTTAAATCACATCGGTTTTATACTTCGTTTCACTTCATGGTGTTCGTCAAGTTTCTGTACGTGCTCTATCATCGCTGAACCAATCATAAAGAGAAAATGCCAGGACTTGCACTACTGACGCTGCTTGATTGGACCCATTACCGCATCCTTTCCTGCAAAAATAATCCCCCAAATACTTCTTATTTACTGTTTGTCCAACATTTGATGCATTTTAGATGCATTTGTTTTGTATTTAAGTAAAAGATCTTTCGAGCCAAAAACATTTATAGGAGACTAAAGATGAACAAGGCGGTTCTCTTCTTAGCAAATCAGAGTGATGAGATTTCTTTCTGCCTTCTACCTCATTCGTCGGTTAGGTCATGTTCTATTGCCAACAAACCAGAAAGCAAAAAAAAAAAATAAAATAAAACCTTTTGGTTTTACAAAAAAAAATCGGACGGATTGATCAATTAATCTGGCAAGTTTAAAACACATCTGGTGATAAAAGAAAATTTTTTTCAAGCTGCACTCCCTTAAATCTAATTATTCTGAGTTTACTCAAACTATTTCGATTTAAACAGAACAAATCTGATTTAAACCAGAAAAATCGAATTTATTTGACCTAAAAAGAATCATGATTTTTTTCCTACCTTGCTCGTTACAGTGAACTAAGCCGAAAGCAAGTAAATCACCGAGACGGCATCCATCTCAGTGGCAAGTGGCATCCGTGTACGCTTGAAACACTTGCGGCAGTATACCCAAGCCGGGGATCTAATCAGTTCATCCCAAGGTACTTCATCCCAGGACACTTCATCCCAGACACTTTATACCAAAGATTTTTCATCCCAAGACGTTTGATCCCAAGATGTTTCATCCCAAGATGTTTCATCCCATGAACATTACATGCCAGGATATTTCATACTTTAGAGTGGCTCTGCCACACTTCATCCCCGGATACGTCATCCCAGGAATGTTCATCCCGTTCACTTCATACCAAAGTCATTTCATCCCAAGATATTTCATTCCAAGACGTTCCATGCCAGTGGCATTAAATACCAAGGCATTTCATACCAGAATAATTCAGGGCACCCACGAGTTGCTGAGCTCTAGCAAGAAGAAATTTTAAGGTCGCATTTCACCGGCTGCGGCACTTAAATGAACGTCACTTTGGGGCGTGCATAGGAGTGCCCACAGACAACTCGGTACTGGACTTCAGCAAAAGTCGGGCCATTCCACTTAGAGCCCTTTCTTCTCTTTTTGTATTCTTCCCTCTCATTCATTCACTTACTTCAATCCCTATTTGCATTGCTGCTGCAATGGCCAGATTTACTAATGAAAGCTGTATACTGAAACAAACCGCAATACTGGGGATTGATGTGCACTTGAAAACCGGCCGAAAGGTATCGTTCCAAGACAACATTCACCAGAAATATGAAAAATTAATACGTTTATTTTGCAATGACCCACCCATAAGAGCAAAACCTTAACAAGAGGCCAAAATTCGGGCCAATACGCTCTTTAGAGCACACAATTCTGGCTAATAAACTCAAGAACCGCTAAGTACATAGCACGAGCAGGCATTGAGAAAGCTGTCTGCGTCTCTGTTGTTATAGTCATCCAGGATCTGGCATAGACGCTTGTTAGACTGCTCGTACTCCTTCTTCCTGTACAGCGGTGGCTCATGACCCACGTCCAGCTGGATGGCCATCGCGTTCACACGGACTTGTTCAGAGAGAAGCGCATCCAGCAACTTGAATACTGTAGGATGGTATGCGCCGATAGAATTTTGGAATACCCGGTGCCAGATTTCAACGCTATTGTTGGTTCTGGGAAGGCTGACCTCTGTCACGCGCTTGCAATTCCACATAGATATTGGGAACCTTGGGTCCTTGAGGGGTCGACCGACCCAGGTATTCTCAAAGTAGTCTAGCAACTCTTGGTGCTGTTCCGTGCGTCCAAACAAGTCCAGCAGCTGTCTTGCGAGCATGCGATATCTGTCGCAGACGTCGAAAACATCGCAGAAGCACAGTGCGATGAATTTCTTCACGATGAGGTGGTAGCTGGAATCATCAATGAATCGCGTGTGCATGCCCAGCTCTTGAATTCGGCGCCAGATGCTTTGCGCGAAATGAAATAAGCATCCATGCACATCGACGTCAGGAATGCATTCCCGAAAAGCATTCTCTTCAGCCTTTTCGAAGTCTATCACTATTGTGTGCACCTGTCGTGTGCTTGAAGTGGCATCGTCAATAGCCTCAAGTAGCATGCGCGTTGCTCTTTTGTACGTCGCTTCGCGCTTGTTCGGCAGGAGACAGTATACAAGGGGAAGCACCCTTCCTTTGTAGAGGCCATGAACAACGCAAAGCTGGTGAAACATCTCTGGTGCTACTTTAAATGTGCCGTCACACAACCAGGTTTCGCAGGTGTTTAAACGGCACAGGTCCGTGTTACAGGCGAAAATCATTATTCTTTCCGAGTCACTACAGCCTGTGTCCCCTGCGAGAAATACTTCAGGTGACGCTGTTCTTGTCATGCGCAGGTGTTCAGGCACAATTATGTCGTCGATTCGGTGGGGAACTTGAGCTGCGCCACGGGCTTCGCGTCGAACTCTGTTCACCTTCCTTTCCAGTGATGACAGCTTGGGGAGCTTCGCGATAGTCGCCGGTCTTGCCCCTTGTAGGCAGGCGGTGACGACGTTCCGAGGGGTGTCGTGGGAACGCTTGGCTGCAGTTTTGATCTCATCTTGTAAACGCGCCGCAGCAACATTTTCCGGACTCGGTAGATGGCAAGTATGGCCTTGTGTAACAGTGGTCGTCTCACCTGCAGTAATAGCTCGTCCCCGGCAACCCTCCTGGAATTTCTCGCATCTCCATGCCGTCCTCTCGTCGTTGGTCCTGTGCTTGGTGTACATGTAACCTTCGAAGCAGAGCTTCGGCGATCCTCGACGAGAAGCCACAAAGGTGGCCATGTTCTATAAACAAACTCGATGACAATTAATGAGTCGGGCCGGCTGGACTGTTCGACTGATGGAAGCTCGATGCCAAGTGCAGGACGGTCTTACGTGGCACGGTTGACAATAGAAGAAAGACGAAGTGCATGTGTCGGCTCCGCGCGTGCGAAACCGATTTTATAACTTCTTCTAGGCAGAACACTTTGTGGTATAAAATATCCAGGTATGAAATGTCCTTGGTATGAAGAGTCTTGGGATGAGACGTCTCGGGATAGAACGTTTCTGGTATGAAGTGTCCGGGATAAGCAGTCCTGGAATGAACTGACCTGGGATGAACTGAGTAGCCCTTGAATCGGCTGGACCGTGTGGACTATTCTGGTATCAAATGTCGTAGTATGACTTGTCCATGGGATGAACTGTCTTGGGGTGAAACATCCTGGGATGAAATGACTTTGGTATGATGTGTCTGGGATGAACTGTCCTGGGATGAACTGTCCTGGGATGAAGTGACTTGGGATGAAGTGTGGTAGAGCCCCAAGCCGAGGTCGGACTGTCAAAACATTTCTCGAGTACCTTTTTTTTTTTTAATAAAGCAGGTTGAGACAATAATATATTTTTGTAATAAATTATCTGCGTCAATATACGATACATCTTTAGTCTGCGAAGTTCACAAAAATTTGGATGTCTGCCAAAAACAAGCAAATAAAAGTAAACTCGCGATTTCATTTGCTCTTCCCAATCCAGCACATTGCTATAATCAAGCTGCCGACCTGCTTCTTCGCATTAATGTATAAGTCTCTTCCCTAGTTTATTGTTCTGGAATTTAGAGTAATTCGGCTCGGCCGTAGACGTACCCGATGACCTGTACACCAGTTCCGTCGTTTCGCCTCCGATCCCAATCAAATGCATCAAGAATGTTTGTACAAAAAAAAATTAGGCTTAAAACAATTTCGTAGTCCTCAAAGTGACTATGTGCCACTGCTTCATTGATTGTGTGCTACGAAAAACACATTTGTACCACAAAACGAAGCAAAAACGGCATAAAGCAGCAACATATAAACTAAACCCTGAGACAAGAATAAATAAAATAAGGGACAAGACATATTGTCCATTATATTTTTTTCTTGCCTCAGGATTCAGATTATGATGTTTCCTAACTAGCTCGCCGGCATACTTCCGCTACTTACAAAACATCAATATAGCCGCGTCCACGTCCAAACCGAAACCAACCAAATTGAAGCAACCTAATCACGGCGAGTTCGTCTGCGACCTCCATCCACCGGTCAGGCAACTACTGACATTAGAAGGCGCTGTTTTGGCTTCTCATTCACTCGCAGTCTCGCAGATATGGTGAAACGAATTACAGAACATATCGGCAGATCCAATCCATTCAACCCTGGCTCACCCCAGGCTCCACGCTGTTACTAAGCCCCGATACCGCGACTAAAAAGACGGAGTACAGCCGCGTCTGCTACTGCAGCGCATGCTCATTGGCAACCCAGGAAAAGGACCACTGACATTGGCCCCAAGCGCCGTGCTTCTTTTTACGCTCGCCAAAAGAATCAGTAGAATATTGCGCCGTCATGACACAACGGCGTAAAGATAAAGAAAACACAGATCCGCGTTTAAGACGACAACGTGTTCAAGGTTAAAAAAATAAATAAAAAACTACAGATCTGCACTTTTTCTTAGTGTTGTAGTCCACTTGGTTATCTGTAAAAGGCTGAATGACTTGAGACTCTCGCCAACAGCGAAAGTACGAGGGAAACCCACTGCCGGAGGCTCGCTGTGGCGGTTCGCCAGTGCGATTTCCACGCCGGGGCAGACGTTATGCACATCCGTCTGTTTTTCGATTCATCTTATGCTACTGATTAACAAAAAAGCGGTAATTTAATTTGTTGTGTCAGGTTTATTTCCTGAAACTGTTTGTATATAAACTTCCTAAAAAGAGAGCGAGAGAGAAAGAAAACAATAGAAAGAAAACAATGGACGACTCTCCAAAGAGCTCTGAAGCGTACGACAGTCCTCTCAAGCTCCCCAGCATTCAGTCTATTGACCTCGACGACTCGGCTGTAGAAGCATTCCTCTCATTTGGACCACAGACGCCTGCCACGGCGGATTCCGACCTAGCCGAAGAGAGGCACTTGCACGAATTGGCGTTGCAGTTTGAGCCCTCGCCCGCCATCGCCTTCCAAGCCACCAAGACCAGAGCGTTTACAGACGCCTTGGCTCAGAAGCTGCTGGTGCATCCAGCATCATCCCCTGGTTCGTCCAAGTGTGAGGATGCTGATAGCTCGAGTCCAACTAAGAGTAATGCAGCGGACCTATCAGAGGTAAGCTTTAAACTGGGTTGTTCACATGGCCAGCCGAAAGTTGACATCGATCCTTTTGCAATTAGCGACTCAGCAAGCGCTCCTGGGTCTCGAGCCCATGCTAGTTTCCAAGGAAGACCGTGAACTGATTCGCCGCCATTTATTAAAGTACTACCTGCGTTAGGTAAAAACAGTCAGCACTAAGAAAAGATTTGCGTATGTGATCAGGGAGCGGAGCGGTAAAACCTTGACACGGTGTTGCGTGGTCGCTAGCATAGGCGTAGACTACGGGAGGGCACCAGTGCTCGTGCCCCCCCCCCCCCCCCCCCTTGGTGAAATCCAAGAGGGGGGGGGGGGGGGAAAGCAGAACCACCCCCCCTCCGGGCCCGGGCCATGATCCTTACCGAGACGCTGTTTACGTGCCATGTAACGAGCTTCTATTAGTGGCATGTAATAAAAATAACGCCCACTTTGCCTTTATTGACAAAATGCATGGGAAATTGAATACCAGCGTGCCTTTCGTTAGCTTTAATCTCCAGTTCTGGCAAGAAGTTAGAGCGTAGCCCCCCCCCCCCCCCCTTCCCCCCCCCCCCCCCCCCCCCCCCCGGAGAACTTCTCAGCCTGCCCCCCTCCCCCCGGGGGAAAATGGAAAGTCTACGGCGCTGGTCGCGAGCACACCTAGAGCGAGAGTGGCCGGGTGCTTCCCACGTTTTTATCTCGGGTGTGCTCGGGAGGTTATCGTTTCCAAATAATTTTTGTTGACTAGATAGATACTGTCATCTATGACAATTTTCGGTTTGTCGTCTTAAATCACGAAGGATGTTCAAACGGTGAACAATAATAATTATAAAAAAAGGAAAAATAACGCTGCTCTTTAGCTCTGCAGTCGTCCATGGCCGGCGTAAGTCTTAAGCAGAAATGCGACTGTTCGAAAGCGCGCTTTGGGATCGGCTGCTGTATGCCGAACCCCCCCCGCGCTCCAAAAATGGCACCGGCCGGGCATCCTTCGCCCGCTATGTTTGCTCAACTGCAGCGTCACGTGTTACCAATTTTTTTACTGCGGTATGAAAACCTCGAAAAACGAGGTTTTCAAACTGCAGTAAGGTTGAAAACCTCGGGGATCGAGTTTTGCTGTTGTCAGCTCCTGAGTCTCTCATTCAATTGGATTCGGGGATCAGGAGTCAAAATATTGGCACTTGTGCCGTAAAGCTTAATGAAGGTTTAAAGGGATACTGTATCAAAACCTTAAATATACCTCTCACGTTCAGAAAAAAAAAAAAAAAAGTTAAACATGATCAACCACGGCCGGACTGGAAGCGCGCACTCGCTTCCAGTCCGGCCGTGGATCAACTCAGTCTGCTAATGACAATCGCACCCTTGTATTTTGAACAGATAACTATATTTTTCATTGCAAAGGACCTATTCCACCGAGCGCTCGGGGATCAGTTATCGAAGTGCGCGATGCATCACGGTAGCTGGGCCAATTAACGTCACAGACGTAACGTCAATTGGGCCATCACGGACAAAGCTGCTTGGAGGCTGGCGTAAATACAAGCTCTGCAACTTGGCGCCGTCAACGCTTTACAACCAGGCCCTTTTTAGTTGCCCCTCTCCGCTCCCTGGGGCTCTAAACTGGTCAAACACAAAGTTGGGGCCGAAGTTGACGGATCGCACCGACTGGAGTATCACGACGATGACTTTCCGCTTCTGTCGCCGGCGCCCAGTCGCGCTCTGCGAACTTTCGGCTCCAACTTTGTGTTTGACGAGTTGAGGGCCCCTAGAAGAGTTGAATAGGCCGGGAGAGAAGGGAAATCCGGTTTGAGAGAGCTGGCGCGGACGCAGCTTGTTGCCGTACTTCTGCGGATCGGCACTGCTTTTTAGTTCACAGTGAAGTAACCGTGGTTTATTCCTTTTAAATAATATTTTGGTGTCCTTTCGATCCAAACAACTCGTGTCTCCGTGGTGTGGCTAGAATGTGATTGACATTTAGACAATAAAATAGACGCTAGAATTTCGCTGAAGTATCACTTAAAGTAGAGTTTTAAAAAACGTTGTATTACATTAGCAATCAACAAGCAACATATCCCGCCTCTTGGGGTCACGATGGTACACTTATATACACCAACGTTAGGGCAAATACGTTTCAGTACGTTCCGGGTGCTTACGTCGGGATTCGACTGCGAAGTACAGTCTCAAACAATACAAAAAAAAATAAAAAAAATAACCAGTCGGCTTCGGGCGGCTGTGCTGGCTTTGCGTTGGCCAGGCAGACGTAATTGAAGCGAGGGAATAAAATATTTTCTTCGTTTCTACTATCTTTCTAAAAGTAAGGTGCATCTGGCCAAGGTGTGCTTAGCACCACCTCTGAAACTGCATCGGCAAATGAATCTTTCATACTGTGGGAGACTGTCGCACTACAAACAAGTGTTGCGTCGCTCTTGAAACCACTAGTCTCATAGGGCCAACGAACCTCAGGAGCTGCGTAAGCACGAAATATGTAGGCCGCGTCAGTCTTTAACCGCTAAACGATCGTGAATAAAACGGCAACCGGTGCCAAGATCGAAATCCGGTGACCGGCATAGAAGCCAAGTGCGCTGATGACTGAGCTACGGACCCAGCAGGCAGGAACGGGAAAGCAGAAGCAGGTGGTGTGAGAAAGCGCGCGGAACGAAGAGGGTTGGAAAGGGCAAGAAAGGGAGGAGCAGAAACAGGTGGTGTTGAAAAAGCAAGCGGAACGAGGAGGAGCGGAACGGGCAGGAAAGCGCTCTTCCCCTCTCTTGGTGACTAAGAAAATTCAGCGGAAAGGCTTTGTATCCGGGTGACGTGCTGAAGGAAAGCGCGCGCAGCGTCACAAAGGGATAACCCCTGCCCTAGGCACCACCTGAACCAAGAGCACCACTCACTTCAGGCACTGAAAGACTAAGGGTCATCCTGCCTTAGGCACCACCCACCCTGTAAAGCCACCGCATTCGAACGCGTTCAGCAAAGTAAGCAAACATGCAGCCAGTTTTTATTTTTTTTTTGTGAAAACTTGCGGTTGTATTTCAACCTAAGTCCCTCAACATGGGTCAAACGTGCTCCTAACGCTAGTTTGTAAAAGGGCCTCAACGTTACTAGAACACTCAGTTGGGGAAACTCACCGTTGAAACCCGGGCCGCTGGCGTCCACCGAGACCGAGCTAAATACGACAACAGCGCCACTCTATCATTTGTCTTTACTGTGCTCACCTTGAGCTCTTAAAAAGCATGTTTTTGCGTAAAAACAAACAGGAAAAACATTTTTTGTAATAATATTTATTGGAGTATAGTACAAAATAACGGGCACGTGATGTTTTTTTAATCTTTAGTTTGCAAGGTTTTGCGGCATAATTGATATTTATACAACCATACCTGTGCAATGATTTCAATTAGTGCGTCCCGACCTGGGTGCATCCTAACTTTGGTAATAATTCGCGGCGCGTCCGCTTGGGAGACGGGGGTGGCACCCCTGAAACCCCATCCACCGTATATGTTTCGGTGCCAAAATGGCCGATTGAAGCCAAAATAGAAGTCACGTGCAGTTCCTCGAGTGCCCGCTGCGGGAGAAATGGCGGCGTTGCGATCGCCATTAGCTCATTTCTCGAGTACTGTTCGGTTCCACTTTTTCAGAGCAGGCTCTATGGCATTTTCCCAACTGAGTGGTTCTATAGTAACGTTGAAGGGCCTGTAGATTATTCCACGAATCGAGTTTCTTGAGCGCCTGCCATATTATCTATTTCACTGTAAAACGCATTCTCAGCGTGCGCAGTAGTTCTCTTTTGTGGAATATCAGGCTCCACACATGCGTCCGCAACTCAGTGACTCTGCGTTTTTCGCCGGCGTGATAAGTTTATACCGTTCATACACCATAACCTTTTAATGCAAAAAAAAAAAAATCTCTTTACAAAAGCAAAAAAAAAGTTTCAGGGGCAGACGGGAAGAGATCAAGTTAGACTTCGTCTCAATTTAAGTCCACACCATACGCAGCCGACGCTACGAGTTGATGGGACCAATCAAACAGCGTGGAAAGCGCAAGTCACAGGTCTTTCCTGTACATGATCAGTTAACGAGGATAGAGCGAACACGTACAACATTTGACGAACACCATGACGTTGCGCTTTTGACGCTGTTCGATTGGTACTATTGGCTCGTAGCGTCGGCTGCGTCTTGACTTAGGGGAAGCGAAGGATAGTTCCAAGGGCCAGCGAAGAGTGTGAACAGATCTTAGTCATTTTTCCACGCCATAAGGGCACGTCTTGATTTTCGATTCATTATGCGTTATGGGTTGATAGTTGTGCTCCTTGTGCAATCACGGTCAGGGTTGCCATCTTCCTGCAATGCGTTAGACGAATAGTTAGACCTTTCGGGCGCTCATCACCCGGGAGAAAAATGCCGAGTCACTGAGCTGCGGACGCGTGCGCAGCGTCTGATGTAGCGCACCGCATAGCAATAGCGCTAGATCGGAAGGCGTTCCACGACCGAGTAGACAAAAATGGCAGCGCAAAGAAAACGATTGTTTTTAGGAGGGGGGGGGGGGGGGGGAGTTCTTGTATTTGGGGACAACTTTTCCTGGCAGTGCAGTCATATATAAAAGGACGCGCGTGCACTCTCTCATTTTGAGCGCTGATTAAAGCTGCGCGTTAGCATTCCTCCTCTCCTCGGAAATACCATGAAAAGTCCACGAGCATGGCCATACACTCGCATTAAACCCGGACTATATTCTCTACAACTCACCGAGAACTCAATGCAGTGTGCTTTCTCGTGGGCACGCAGGCATCGTCGAGTTCCGTCGCCTCTCCGGCTACCTCAGTCTCGTGGACGCCCTGTTCGAGTCTGCTCGGCACTCCGAAACTTCTGTCTCCGAGAGCGTCGGCAAGGAACCACGGCATTGTTCCTCAGTTGCAGTTGAGTTCATTCGTTCACGAAGAACCACAATCTCGGCCGCGGATATAGACAATTCAAAATTTTAATATAATATAATTTATATAAATTGAACTAATACGGCGTAGTCACGATATATGTCGTCACCATATTGTATGACCTGACGTCACGTGCCATCATTTGTCAAGTCACGTGACGTCAATTTCCCCGCTAGATTTAGAAGGGAACTTGCTGGCACGTGACCTGACATCACTCGAGACACGTGACGTTGCGTCACGGTATCAAGTCGTGGGGGCGTCTGATATAATGGCGACTCTCTGAGTTGTCCCGTGATGTGGAATCATGCTACCACAGGATGCCATGATGTCACGTGACGTCAATTACTCCGCTACGTTTAACGGGAAAGCGCACGGACAGATGGACATATTTCAGTGACTGATGGTTCTGTTCGAAGCTTTAAAAACTAGCATGAACAGTGCCCGATATATGCATACGTGCTTCTTGCGATATTAGAAAGTTTTAGATGATGGTTTCGATACCCCCGTAACGATGTCCGATAAGAATACGCTGCATGCACAAAGGCGTAGTAGATCGTTGACTCCGATAACGGCACCCGATACCCAGCCGTCGCCTTTGCGCCTGCATCGTACCGTTATCGGAGGTGTCGGAACGATCTACTAAAACTCCCTATTCACTCTCCAACGGAGGCCATGTCTGCGCCGTGTTTGCAGGAACATTGTGGCCACTGTGAATCTCTGCTGCCGACTGGACCTGCGCCGGATCGCGCTGATGGCCCGGAACGCCGAGTACAACCCGAGACGCTTCGCTGCCGTCATCATGCGCATACGAGAGCCGAGGACGACGGCGCTGCTCTTCAACTCCGGCAAGGTGGTCTGCACGGGGGCCAAGAGGTGAGACCTTCGGACACGAAAGTAGTGTGGCCATACCGTCGGGCCGGAGCCTCCTCTGGCTGGGAAACTTTTGTGCACGCTCTGCCACCTATTGTATCATGTGAGTGACGAAGTCGTGGTTTTTAGCCATGTCCCGCGGTTGGAAAAGGGGAGGTGCGATTATCGCACGGGCCGGGGCGGTCCCGCGAGTCATGCCGATAAAACGCAGCATATAGTCGGTGTGGAAGCAGCACCATCTGTCTAGAAAAAAAATGCAAAAGCTAAAAAAAATGTGCAGATTGAGCACTTCTAAAAAATGAAGTGGTATTTGCCGTTGAGGCACTGCTGTCGTCTCGCCGATGATACCATGTTGATAGAGGGACTCGAGGCATGAATCGTGGGACCGCTCCCGTCCCCTGGGAGAAGCAAGCGCTGGCTCCACTTCCCCTTGTAGCATACCATGGAAAAAAAGTCATATATAGTTTCTGACTTTTTTTTTTGTTTTTTTACAACAGCGTGCGTGCAAGCTGAATCTCGATGCTGATGGTGAGCTTATTTAGAAACCAATGTAAGCAAATACGATGAAGCTTATAAAAGGGTAAAAACACGGGCTTATCTCTCTCTGTGATTCCGTGTATTAAAAGACAAGCTTTTATGTTTTGTTTACGACGCTCCTCGACGTACTAAGTATGCATTTAATACACTAAAATATCGGCCTCGGTATCTATTTAAAACGGGAGGGAATTTAACTTACTAAATTGCAAAACCATTTGTGCAAAGAAACAGGCCGCGGTGTGTAAAGTATTAAAGCGCTGCAATAGTAGAAAAAAATACGGATTTGTTTTGTTGGTTCCCGTTGACACGAACTGATGGTGCGTCACCATAAAGGCGAAGCTGTTTTACCTGCTGTGTTAAAATTGATATAATATATATAAACATATATAATGTTAGCTGATAAAATACGAGTGAACGTCGAACAGCGTGTAGATTTTCGGCGTCCATGTGTTTAGCGAACTCTTCCGCCCATGCATCAAAAGTGGTCCTGAAATGGCCACAAATGACGTCATAAAAGCCAGAGTGATATGCTGTCCGACGTTACGATCCTGGTGGTTGGCCGTGGGGGTTCCGGCAAAAAGCACCGAAAAAACGCGAGTGTTGCATTTGTCGTGGAGTCCAAACTCCCGAGTCCCGGCTGCCGAAGTTTCCATGGATTGTCAAGCGGGACAGGTGTCTGCCACATCCAGTACTGCTGCTGTGACACCACCAAGATGGCGGCCGCCGACGGCATGACACCATTATGATGTCATGAAAAAAAATCGAGACTTTTTTTTTTCTTTACGGTGTAAGCACATTACTCGAAGACGAGTTTTAGGCACCATACTATCATCTCGCAATAAATTGACCTCACGTGAAGGGGTAACATGACGTGGTCAATTTCTCCATTTAATTAAAGGGACCATGAAATGATTTTAAAATCGAATTTCATCCACCGCACGTCGTAAAAGGTGTGAAAATAAACACAAAAAATAGGGAGCCAAAAAAATTATTTGCTATAGAACTGTTAAAAGAAAACTGGACTCTTTTGCGCCTTCTTTCCTTCGCCTTTTCACTACGATGCATCCGCGGAACCGGGGCACGTCAGCCGAATCCACGTCGCCTATTGGGTAAGAGCCTACCTCACCAGCACCGCGATCGTAAACAATAAATAGCCGGCGAATGTTTCCTAAAAGTTTTGTTAAATAATATTCAGATCCACATTGTGTAGCATAATTAGAGATGTGTGGCGAAAATTGCCAAATTTGATAATGCTTAGAGTGCCTTCATACACACGCGCGCTTTCGCTTGAGTGGTGACATCTCAGCCATTTTTCCGCTCATTTGTTTTTTTTATGCATTTTGAAGTGCGCGCAATCCGGTGTCACTCAGCTCGAGCGCGTAGCTTTGGCTATTACATAGGCGCCATTTTACCGCCCAAGTTGCGCACCGAGTGCGCGAGAGCGTCACGCGCTGGCAGATTCAGGGCAACAATGGATGTCTTCACCCTGAGACAGACAGACATGTAGGCACCCTAATAATGCTGAGAGCCAAGCGCCATCTATCGTGTGGTAAACGAAGCAACTACTGCGCGTGCGCAGTAGGGCAGAGCCGAGTTCAGTTACTTGGTTCGCGACGGCCGACGAACGTTTATTTCCTTTGATTTCCTTCCTCTCAAAACTCTGAGTGACTGAACGTTTATTTTTCTACGTGTTCTTCTCGCGCGTGCCGACTTCAAGCAGCAAGAAAAAAAGTACTTAAAACAGACCACGACGAACAAGAACGCTGGCCACGAATCCACCGACTCTGACGAAGCGAGCTGCTCAGAATATAGGCCTAGCAGGCACTCCGACTCGGCGCAGCGTTGCTTCGTCGCAAGACCGTCTGCCTACGACCGGCTGGCGTGCTGAATGGAATATGCCCGCGCTACCCTTGTGGACCCTTCCCGCATTATAGTTTGATCGCTGACCTCAATTTTAGATTAAGAGGTGAGGTCAATCTCTTCCCCTTGTTTTCCGAGGCAGTGTTGACGAACACTCGTCGAAAAGGGACTCTCGTCGATTCTATATTCTTGTTTTCTGTGATATAGAGCGGAAATAAACGCCGTATGGATTGCCTTCGTAACACGGTATGTACACTTTGTTATTGGTATGCCATTTTTATTCAGACAGACTGCACGTCACTGTCGAGCTATAACAGTTCGTGGGAGGTATACGTGCAATGCCGGTCCAACCTTTCTTTGTCGAGTGTCGCGTCAGTATCGAGTTGCAATCGTAAAAGATCGGTCCCGAAGCGCTTACCAACAGCGCGAATACGGCACTTCCATCGAACGCGCGCGTCCGCTCCGAGTGTGAACAGGTATTTACGTGGCTCTTGCTGACACTCGTAGTTCAAACGTATCTTTTTTAACGTCGGCTCGCTCCTGCATCTCCGAGGCCGCGAAAAACGCCGCGGCAGTTTTTAACATCTACGTCGCTTTGCAAACGACTGACGCGGGCCGCCTTTTACCAACAATGACAGTTGGCTTGACTTCTGGAGTCTTCGACTCGGTGCACTTAAGCGCGATCCAAACCAACGCTTCTTTTTGCGGCTGTAGGTCGTGCGCGCCCCGGATGTTACGTATTTCGTAACGTTTTTGCTGCTTCCGGCGCGCTTTCTGAGTCAGAACCGTGCGCTTTGGTTTGGACGGGCCAGCCTCGGGCAAGCGCGCACGCAGGCACGAGCGCACTCTGGCGGTCACCTGGCCGGCCAGTCTGTCGGCGAGAGACTGGCCGGCCAGACGGCGAGAGAGGGAGAGAGATCGCGGAGCCGGAACTAGCTTGCCCTCCACCGATTGGCCGGGACACAGGAGCGCCCTACTACGTCACCGCGCGTTTTTGTGCGCGTTGAGAAAGAAGTTGAAATCAACCAACTTTTTTATGCGCGCCCGGAAGGAGCGAAGAACCGGCGCGACGTCACGAAATACGGGGCGCGCACGACCTACAGCCACAAAAAGAAGCGTTGGTTTGGATCGCGCTTTAGGCGCCGATTCAGAAAAGACGTCGGTGACATCAGCGCAGTAAAACCTGCCGGCGCACCCCAACTCGTCGCCGCTAACGCTCCCATTCTCCTACTGCCGAGAGAACTTCCGGTTCCGGAAACAGCGTACGTCACGGCTTGTTTTGCGGTCAGTTGGAGAGAATGAAAAAGTCGATATTTCAATAATTTTGTGTGTAGAAGTTAATAAACCGAGACGAAAACGGATGCCTGTTCGGCATTCAGTGAACATTGACGGTTTAATGTAAAAGTTATCTGGAAAAAGTAAACAGGTAATTTCATGGTCCCTTTAAGCATGAAAATTGACGTGAGGGTTCTTCGTAACGGTACTATGTGACAATTTTCTCGTCGAATTTGGCCTATGAAACACATTTTGCGTTAATAAAATAATTGAAGAATTTGAGAAAATTCTGGGTTTTAACTCAATGCACTATTGTTGTGTTTTAGCGAATTTCACTCCCGGGTCGCCGCACGGAAGTTCGCACGCATAACGCAGAAACTTGGTTTCGACGTAAGTACAATTGCGATCTATTTATTTATTTACGATACCCTCAGAACCACAATGCGTTAGAGAGGGAAGTCGGTGTTACGTGCCATGATGGAAACTGCTTCTCGAAATCTGATGGGGTTCTGAATGGTGACGATGTCTTCGGGATGGTCTGTCGTCTACAATAAACCGATCTCACCAGCCAGTTTGACTACGCCACCGCTGCCGCAATGTATCGAGGGAACCTTAGTCTTTTTGCACGTGCGACAACCTCGCCGGAGCACTGCGCGTGTAAAGCACGAGCCCTCGCGTGCACGGCCGTCTGCCTCCTGAGAACTAAAGTTATGGCGGCCTCACGCATGCGCCGAACACTTAGTGAGATCGGTCTTTTGCGCCAGGAAGAGGAACATACTAGTATGCTGTTGAAAAGCACTGCGGCCGGGCTATTTCATTGCGATGATCGAGTCTGGATGAAATATGAGACGGTGGGGAGAAAAGAGACTGATTTAGAGATGGTGAATGAAAAGAACTTCATGCAGAAGGCATAGACGGAAGATTTTTTGACGGGAAATTTCTTTCCAAGCTTAATTGTTCACTACAACTCATTAGATACGAATGGCGATATAGTGTGTCCCGCATATGATAACCACGGTGACGAGAAAAATTTGTTCACGCAAAACGCTCACCGCTAGGATGTTTTTTTTTTTTTAGGCCCAATTTTCGGACTTCAAAATCCAGAACATCGTGGCCAGTGCCGACGTCGGGTTCTTGATAAAGCTCGAAGCTCTGGCCCTGAATCACCCGCAGTTTTCGTGGTAAGTGCCCGGTTTCTAATCCTTCGTGCTTGAGAAAGATGTCTTCAGAAGGCGTGGGATAGGGGATATTTCTGCCGAGACTCATTCTGAAGGGTTCTGGGGGGCAATGCAAGATGGCGGGACGAGGCGGGACGAAGGAACCGGGACATGGCCGCCTGCAGCGATTGGTCAGCGGCGTGGCACTGACCAATCGCAGCAGGCGACCATATCCCGGTCCCTTCGTCCCGTCGCCTTGCATAGCACCCTGGAATGCCACAGCAGACGATACCACTGTAAAGGCAGCTGCTATTGCTCCGTGCGCCAACACTGTGCTCACCTCCTCGGCACTCACCTTTCTTACTCAAATACTCGAACATAAGTCTTCGTCATTGTTTGGCTACGACACCAAAATCATTAAGGCTTGGTGAACGATGGCAGCGAGAAAGTACAGAACATATAAGTAACGACGGTGCAATAGACACGTGTAATAGACATTTCGCTAAAGTACCCAAGCATGAAAGAGAATGTTGGAAACGTCAGTATACGCGCTGCACGTGCTCGCCTTCCCTACAGAAAAAAAAAAAAAATATATATATATGTATTTGAAGACGCCAGCACGCGTAGCGCCTGTCACTACCTTCCAGGCATTCTTTTTTTGGGCTTGGTTAATTCGGAAAAATGTCTCTTGCGTTCTTTCTAAGACTAAAGCGTTGTTTTCAAGAGGCCGTGTACCATCAGACGATATAACACTTCCGAAAGACATGCACGAGACGCACGATGGCGCATTTCGCGGTGAACCGCCATCCCATGTCGCCGCGCTCGTCGCGTTCTCCTGCAGGAGCGATGGTCGCTTCGCCCGCAATACTTGGAGCCAATACTTTGAGCCAATAATTGGAGATCGCTGCGACACTCTGCTTTGCACTGTCAGTTAAGCGATGAACGAGTCCACGAATTGCATTCCCTTGAAACTGACGGCATTGTGGTTGATTGTATTACTAGCTCAGCTCATATTGTCGACTGCCCAGACGGACGATGTGCATGCGATCAAATTGTTGCAAAAGTAATGTGTTTTTGAACATGTTCTACGTGTTTTATGTTCCCCTGTACTATCGTTTGTCTCACGTTGTGACGTTGTTCTGTAGGTGATTGCAAAAGGGCCCCGAACACCTGGCATCATCTAGATGATGTTACCATACAATTATTGAAACATCTAGGCGATATAAAATGACGATGTAGGGATCCTCTGGGCTTGCATAGCACATAAAACCTGCGGTAAACCAAAGTACTTAATCAGAGAAGAATTCATCTCTAGCCGCGTCTTTGAAACGTAAATTTACTGAGCCTGTAGACACTTGCTAAAGCGCAGAGACCGAATATATATTAGACTAGTATTTTGTTGCTAAGATCTTGCCATGTCCCATGTCCTCTTTGTCTTGCAGTTACGAGCCAGAGCTGTTCCCTGGTCTCGTTTACCGGATGGTCAGGCCGAGTGTTCTCCTGCTGGTGTTTGTATCCGGAAAAGTGGTTTTGACAGGTGACCTTCCATTCTTCTTTCCCTTCTTTTGTTGTGGTCGCTTTCAAGCAACTGGATATTAATATTCTGAAAGAACGCCCACCACTAGAGATTGAGTTCCCTTAGCTTGGACAATTTGAACAACAGGTATAAAGCTCTTTTTTCTTTCTTCACAAAATGCCTTTTTTTCAACTGAGTTTCATGGAGTTCTGTAACGTTCGGTTGTAAGAGCTGGCTGTTAAAAAACCGACACTGTAAAGGGTTATCTTCATACAAAACCATAAAAAAACTTCAGTTTTTCGCAGGATTTGAACTTAACGCCTTGAGAATGTGATCCATATGTGCTTTGTCGACTGACCAATCTGTTTTTTATTGCTCTTTAAAAACAAATGAACGAAGGACACAGACACTCACGCACTTAAAAGTTGGTCAAAAACGAATATGCCACTTTGCGGTGGACAACCAGCATATTAAAATCCTTTTAAACACACCAACTCATTTAGTATTCGGAACCAATCCGAGGGTTCAGGAAGCGCACGGTAGAGCTAGCTGATATACGCCCCACTTGCAATGAATATTCCTCTTACAGTTCGGTCATTCAGATCAGCACTGTTAGCACTCATTCTTGTCTTCCATTGACTAGTGCGAGAAGCGTGAACGTGGCTCACATGTCCAGAGGCAAACAACAATAGCGTGTGCTGAAGAATGTCCAAGTGGAACACCGCGTCCAGACACTCACTAAATACGTGCTATATCTACTCGTGTTTTATGCAGATAATACAATCCACTGACCGAGATTGAGCTATTTAGGGTCGGCGGTTGGTAGCCCGCAAAAGAGAACTCATTCACGCGGCGCGCGAAGGCACGGTCGCGCGCTTCGCGGCCTTTCTTGGCATGGTGCGCCATCTCAGGGCGTATGTAAGAAATGGGAGCGAATCTTCGTTAGGTGCTGCCGTTCAGGCGGCCTTCTCTTCTTAGCTGGGATACCAATCTGGGCACTCCGTAGGGAAAAAGTCGGCGAACAATCTGGCGGCCATGATTGGGAAACGGAGCACTTGACCATGACCAATAAAAAGCCAATAATAGCCGCCGGATATCTCGCCCGCTTTTTCGGCAAGTGTCCAGATCAGGGCCCCTGGAAAGCCTATCACACATCAAGGTTGTCTGACTTTTACCAAATAACTGGCATTCTAAATAAAGCAGTTTTAAATGTTGCTTTATTGTGACAAAAAAACAAACACTCGCCAACTCTTTTTTTGCGTAGTTCAGTCACACTCGCATGTAAACTTACTACTTTCTGTTTTTCCTTTTCTTTTGTGTAGGTGCTAAAGTGAGGCATCAACTCTACCAGGCGTTCGACAACATCTACCCAATTCTGGAGAAGTACAAAAGTGTTTGAGAAACATTGCCTAAGTTATTTCAAAAAGGTTTGCCCTATGTGGACTAAAAAATATAAAACATACTGTGCTAAGAAAAAAACGAGAAGAACGAACTTCAATAAAAATCGGAGAAGGAAAAATGAACCACGTTAGAAGCAGGAGTTTGTACCTGGTTCCCTGAATACATTCCCCTTTATTTTGAGAAAGAAACGACATTGGTCAGTTTCAAGTGTTTTGACCGCAAAGTATAGCCGGTAAGGCAACCCTCCTGTTGCTGGCTCGCTTTTACACGAGACATGAATCGTCTTTTTTCTAAGACTGGTATTGTAGCCCCCTCTGCGCTTAAAGGGATACTGACAGGGTATTTATGCTCGCCGAGGTTTTTAGTTGTACGTGACATATGAGAGCTCAACTACCCAGAACAGAATTTGCGGCTCGAAATTCGGTTTCTTTCCGCCCGAAAACCGCCGATCAAGAACTGGCCGGTTCGAGTCTCGCTCACTCTCTTTTCCGCGGTCACGGGCCGTTGCGACCACCAAATTTAATCAAAGTCGTGGGTCACTGAAGGCACACACTCAATATTAAAAATAGAAAAAAATATGAAACCCATTTTTTGTGGCTTCTAAAAAACTGCAAATACGTTGATTGAAAAAAAAAAAAGTTGCACAGAGAACCGGAAGCATTCTGTGCGTTCGTCGTTTCGCGCATCGTGGGACTCGCGGGTACGGCGATGGCAGCGGACGACGGGCGTGGGACCTCTATTTTAGAGCTGTCGTTCGCGGTACCGGCGAATTTTGTCTGCCTTTAAAAGAGAAATTTGGGACTGATCAAAAGAATTGGTATTCATCCCGTACGACACGCCCGACCACCAAGCCGATTTGCACGAAGACGTCGCCGAGCCCTCGCTCCCTTCTCGTGGCTGAAGACATCGCTCGCGCAAACGTCAAGCACGACGTGTCTACTTCGAGTTGAATATGCACGCGTACGATTTCTTTACTAGGTGAGAATGTTGCCAATGCGTGGTGCATCCCGACTTCGACCCGGGAGTGCTTCTGCTAGAGGGAAATCGGCAGCAAACTTTCCAACTTAGTTTATCGGCTGAATTATTACTAAGTAAAGAGATCCCCCAAGTTGATAAAACCCGCGCGCTCCCGTCGAAGGAGGTCGCACGGAAATGAGCTCCCGCGGAGCAGCGAGTACGGCTGCCCCCGGCCGGGTTTCTTCCGTCATGGCTACCACGTCGACTGAGTACAAGGTCATCCTGCCGCAACTGCCAAAAGGTCAGAACGCTCTCAACACTGTTATTCTGCACGGGGACCCTTCGGCGAGACCGTACCGAATCGAGGACTTCGGGGACGCACTCAAAGGCGTGCTGAACATGGAGGAGATCGCCGGCCTGGGCCCTCTCCAGTTCAATCACGTTTGGATGGTGACCCTCCACAGCGCTGAATCAAGGGATGTTCTGGCCGCCAGGTCGGAACTGGTCGTGAAAGGAAAAAGATGCCTTGTTATAGACCCTAGCGTGAGAGAACTCACTGTGAAGGTGCACTGGGTGCCCATCCCGACACCGGACGAAGTTGTCAAACAACTGCTTACGCCATTCGGCCGAGTCAAGCACGTCGAGCGTGAAATGTGGAGACGAGAGGGCTTCGGGAACCTGGAAACTACCACCAGGAACGTCACCATGATCCTGGGAGACGGCGTCGGCCCGGACAAGCTGCCGCACCAGGGAAACATCGACGGTACGAAGGTGCTGTTCTCGGTGCCGGGGCGGCCGCCCCTCTGCCTGCGCTGCGAGAGGGTCGGCCACATGCGGCGACAGTGTGTGGCTCCATGGTGCAGAGTGTGTCGTGGGTTCGGTCACGAGCCGGAACAGTGCACGCGATCATACGCGGACATGACCCGCGGCGTCAGGAGGCCCGAGCACTTCGGAGAGCAGCTTGACAACGCCGACATGGAAGAGTTGGAGACACACGCCGTGAGCCTCCCAAATATCGTGGAAAACGTCGACGACCAGCCCAGTGGAGCCAGCGAGGGAGACAAGGTGACCAACGTTGAAGCGGCGGCAGCAGCGGCCGGAGAGGCTACGGCCTCCCCGGCTCCCGTCGCCATTGAGCCAGAGGAAACAGGGGAAGCGACAAACCCGTCTATTCCCCCGGCCTTTGTTGACGGAGAACCGGAATGCGTCGCCGAGCACACGTCAGCCAAGGACAGCGAAGGGTGGCAGCCGGCCCCAACGAAAAGGAAAAACAACAAGAAAAAAGCAACCCAGGCATCGGAGGAAGAGCGGGCGAACAAAATGAAGTTGAGGGGGAAGAAAAACGAAGACCCCTCTCCACCGGACGGAGCCCCCTCTCCCACAGAAGACCCTCTCCCTATTTTTCCTTGAGCTTTTATCCACCCCCCCTCCCACGAACCGAACATGGGTCAAGGCCCGCGGAAAAGTATTTTAAAAATTGCAACTCTAAATATGGTCAGCTTGATCGCCTGGAAGCGGAAACAGTGGCTCCTCGATTTACTAAATAGGGAAATGGTAGATATCGCTTTCATTCAAGAGACAAAGTTATCGACGCCAGAGATGGCCAAGTCGTTCGTGCGTGCCTTCGGGCACGATTTTTACTGTATCCACACGCTCACAACGAGGTTTTCTGGGGGAACGGCGGTGCTCGTGCGGAAGCGGGGGGACATCGCCGTTGTGGACCGGGACCTGGGCGACGATGGGCGCTGCGCGACGGCGGACTGCCTCATCGGTGACCAACTAATACGGTTTATCTCGGTGTATGCTCCGAACAGCCTAAGCGAGCGACGGGTTTTCTTCGAGACGATGAGGCACATGTTGGACACCCCTGGGGACATCGTGCTCGGGGGAGATTTCAACTGCGTTCTCAACTCTACAGACAGGGCCGGTGGTGTTACCGGGAAAGACAGCAGTGCCACTACGCTTCGCGACGTACTACGAGACAACGACCTGGTGGACGTCACTTCTGGGTTCCCGAAATTCATGCCGCGTTACACGAGATGGCAGGGAGGGTCCCACGCAAGGCTGGATCGCCTTTACGTTTCCGGCGGACTTCTTGCAGGGGCTTCCTCTTACAGCGTCAAGATGGTGCCCTTCTCGGATCACGGCCTCGTCACCACCGAGCTGAAAAGCGACGTGGCGACCAAGCGTCGTGTGAGAGGGTCCTGGAAAATGAACATGGCCATCCTAGACAGCCAAGAGTTCTCAGCGAGGGTGCAGCAACGCCTGGAGAACTTCGGGAGGGTGGTGGACGCCTGCACGTGGGAGGCCTTCAAAGAAGAGCTGCGAGAGCTTGCCGAGGCCTTCTCACACACCAGGGCAACCGAGGCCAGGCAGGAAGAGCAGGCTCTGACGGGCACACTCCGCATCATACTCGAGGAAGAGGAGAAGAGGCCTGGCACCTTCGCTGAGGACATTCGATACTGCAAGACACGCCTGCAGGAGATGATGGAGGAAAGGTTACGGGGCGCCCAGGTGAGGAGCCGAGAGCTAAACCTGGAGGGCGAGACCCAGCCTACTAAGATTTTCCGGACCTTCGAAAGGAAGCGCGCGCAGGCAAACCACATCTCCAATGTGCGGTACGAAGGCCACCTGGTGAGCGGGCAGGAAGAGGTGGCGGCAGCGTTTGAATCGCACTACAAAAGACTTTTTAGCAAACAGGAATGCGATGCCAGTACCCACCACACGTACCTCCAAGAGCTTGCCGCCGTCCCGGACGATATAAAAGACTTAATAAACGCCCCAATCAGGGAGTTTGAGGTACGGCGAGCCATCAAGAAGCTGTCCGGCAACAAAGCGCCCGGACCGGATGGAATCGGCGCAGAGTTCTACAAAAGGTATGCGGACCTCCTTTGCCCCATTCTGGTAGAGGTATACCAAGATATCTTTCAGCGAAAGCTTCTCCCTCCGTCCATGAGGGAAAGTCTTACGGTGCTCATCCCGAAAAAGGCAGGCAACAGCTCCGACCCAGCAGTGACGGACTACAGGCCCATCAGTCTTCTCTGTGGGGACTACAAAATTCTTGCCAAAATTTTGGCGAGAAGGTTGGATCTTGGACTTCGGTGCGTGGTGGGCGACCATCAAGCTTACGGTCTACGGGGGCGTTCCATAGCGCGAAACCTCCACGCCATGCGTATCGTCAGGGAGGCAAGTGGGGAGGGACACCAGCCTTTGGCGGTCCTTCAACTCGACATGAGCCAAGCCTTTGACCGGGTGTCCCACGAGTTCCTAAGGGCTGTGCTGAAGAAATGTGAGGTCGGGGACGGAATGTTGGACTGGGTGGGCCTCTGCTACCGAGACATATCGACGAGACTTCTCGTCAATGGCGATAAAGGGCGCTCAATACCCATAGGCCGCTCGGTGCGACAGGGCTGCCCGATCTCTCCCATACTCTTCGCCCTACAACTGGAGCCCCTCTGCCGGGCCATCATCCGAGACACAACCATACAAGGACTGCAGATGGGCGATCAACACGTGAAGCTCCTGGCTTACGCCGATGATGTGGCTTTGATTTGCACCTCCAAGGCTCAGGTTGAGGCTGCTCTGCAGCACGTCGCGGTGTTCTCCCAAGCGTCTGGAGCAGAGGTCAACCGGCGAAAGTCCATCGGTGCTTGGCTCGGGGATTGGGCCACAACGCCCACAATCTTCGCAGACATCGAATGGAGAACAACGGTTGATAGCTACCTGGGAGCGCCGATTGGAGAACGTGGGCCCACGGTGGAAAAGTGGCGTCAGAAGACCAACGCCATTCAGGCGAAGCTGTCCCCGTGGCTCGGCAGGCGGTTATCGCTCTTTAATAGAGCGTACGTCTGCAACTCTACTTCATATCCAGCGGTACTCTGCTGGGCACAAGCTGCCGTGTGTCCCGAGTCAACTGCCAACCGTATTCACCGAAGCTGGGCGAGCTTTATCTGGAGGTTGACGATGGAGAGGACGCGGCGCAGCAACCTCTTCCTCAGTTTAGCGGCCGGAGGTCTGGGCCTCGTGAACGTGGTGCTGAAGCTCCACGTGCAGCGCTTCCTTCTCTTCAGAGACAGGCGGGACCCC